GGACATTTCCTGTCTCAGCGGCCGCAGCTTTGGCATTTCTTGTGCTCAAAAGCAGGTGAAACCTGGTGATTGACAGGGAAACTTTCAGCATCATGATGTTTTTTTCTCCCCTGGTTTTGTTTTGCTTTCATTTGTGCATAATTAAATGCCCAGCTGCTGCAGTCATCAGCACTAGAGAAATCAGTAGAGTAAGAGAATGAATCCAGTTGAGCCTGGAGATCCATAGTTTATAGGACTCATTAATGAAGATACCCAGGTGCCCCATTACTTTCCCCTCATTAGTTGTCTCAATTTCTCGAGGACAATCGCCCACTTTTCACAGGTACTAACTGCTGATGTAGCAGAAAGCTCACCGCATGCAGAGTTGGTGTGATGGGGTGCTCCTTCGCTGGAGAAAACAAAATCCAGTCATTTTAATATAGCTCATCTGCAGTTTCCAGGATAATGGAGAAGGGCAAACAGTCTTGTCTCTAATTATCAAAACTTTCCTAGCAAGCGAGGTGACCCTGAGAAGGAGCATCAGTAATTTTCCACCATCTCAGGCAGGAGTAAACAATTTAACTGCCACTGCTCTGCATGGGGAAGTGTTATCAGCAGAGAAGTCTCAGGAAGAACCGGGGATTTGAAATCCCTCAGGCTAATGAAACAAGGCATCTACTAGCAGAGGGCACCTAACAATTCACCCTGCCACAATTAACCCGAATTTACTCCTGGCAAGGAGTTCCATGTAAGTGGCAATGCCAACCAAGTGTCTCTGGAAGCTGCTGTCCAGCTCCTGCTATTTGCACAGCTGACTGCATGAGTTGTACAGGAACTTAAACCAGGCAGATTGATTAACAAGGTTTAAAGAAGTCATTTTACCACCAGAGAAATAACGACCCACCACATTCAAATGTTGATTGTAGGAATTGATCAAAAATATTGCTCAAACTGTAGAGTGACAAAAATATATCGAGCAGTGAAATCCTACTGGGGGCTGCTGCTGAATTAATTCAATTTTGATAGTCAAGCCAGGACAAATAGAGATTTAATAGCTCATGTTTCAACCACACTTAGGGTCCTGATCCCATCTGTATTCGTTCAAGTTATTTGCCTTTATGTGTTGCATGTTAATTCTCAGTATGTTCTGCATATAGTTCTAGTGCAACCTGTTGTTTATTGGATTTATTGTTTTTAGGCAAGCCAGAGTTTCACTTACTAACCAGTGTGAAATGCAGCTTTGCACTGCACAGTTCTTCTAGGGCACATGCCTTGGAATAAGTCGTATTTTGTAGGCCTGGGTTGGCGTATATAGCGCGTGTAAGATATAGTCCTACTGATGCTTGTTCAAAAGTGTTATTAGCTCTTACTGACAGAGTTGAAGGGAACGTTTTTTCACATTATTTTGTAAATTTAAAATATTTTCATCTCTGTCGGCATGATAGTTAACTATAATAAGAAGCATCAATCTTAATTTAGTACCAGCTGGTGTGTTATAGATATGATCTGCAGCCTCCAATGTCAGAAAGATTCCTTTCACTGAACTGAAATGTTTTTGAATTAGACCTGCATGCTTCACTGCCAAACCCAGGAACTCAAAAGTCTTGGCAGTGCAAGAAAAATTATTTAAAAGTCATGTGATGTATTTCTTTTAAATCAGACTAACAGTTTGAGGCAATCTGATTTGCCTTCTGAATTCTGAAGATGGTGGGAATGGTCATGCTTTCAAGTTTATTTCCTCAGTCAGGAAGGACAGAAACTTATTTCTGTATAAAATCAAAATGGAGATATCCTGTCTCCAGGAGCTGGACCTTCTAGAAAAATATGAAGTACCAGGAGACTTACACTAAAAATGAGAGAGATGGTGACCATAAACCCTTCACTAACAGGAGAATATCTATAAAGACCTTTTGTTCTTCTAGCAGCAGTCCTGAATGCTGGAAGAAAGGTAAATTTCTTTTGAGTTTTTAGGTGCAGATGAGGAAGGTTGTACTCTGTTAAATAAAGCAAAGTACCTTCGCCATCAGGGACTTGGATCTTTGGCACAGTCTCTTGTAATTATTTCTTTGCTGGCTATTTTGACAATCTTTCAAATGCTAGATATGCTGTTTTTTCTTATCATTCTGCCCTTTCACATGTTAGTGTACAATGTGTAGTCAAGCTGGATTTCTGCCTGGTCAGTGCTCAGCTTCCCTCACAGCCCCAGTGGAGTTCTGGCCCGATTTTCAAGGGAGTTCTGGCCCTTCTGGATCCCCTGGGAAAGACTGAGGTTTTGGCTGAAGCATTCACAGAGGCAAGGAGCACTCCTTCACAGTCTCATAGTCATCTCTGCACACCATAGACTATGCTATCATGAAGCAATGATGTCCCAGCGGGCAGGAGACAACTGATGAATTTGCACCACTACATCACCCCCATCTTTTCCAGATCCCCTCTTCAGACATAAACAACTGTATCAGCTGAGTCCAGAAATCCATCCAGCCCAGTAACCTCTCTCCAAAAATGGCCAATAGCAGATGTGCAGGGGAAGGTAGGAAGGTGAAGTAAGCGAACAGTGATACTTCCCAGAGTATTCCCCAGCCCTCCACTGAACTGTGTTTCAAGACCTTCCTCACCCAGAGGGAAATCTTTTGTGTTTAGTAACCACAGATGGATTTTATTCCACGAATACATCCCATCATTTTGTAAACCTATGCAACCAGCCATGATGTTCCATGGCAAGTAGCTGCAGAGCTTAGCTACTCACTGAACCATCACAGAGCTGTGGGCTGCTGTGGGTAACAGGAGCTGATTCCCTCCTTGCTCGCTGGATTTCTACATCAGGTTGAGATACATGCGTCATGCAGCCAGAGGTTTCACCACAGATTTATAGACACAGGCAGATGTATTTGTATGAATATACATACCAGTATATGTAATTATGGCTGCAGGGACTTGATATTTGGTCACTGACCTCCACTTCAATGCATGTTGCCAATACTTCATGGCTATTGGTACCTGAGCTTAGGTGAATGTTTTCTCTACATGATACAGTTTTACTGATTCTGCAACAAAATCAGCGTTTGCTTTTCATAAGCAACAGAACGTATGAGCATATCATGATGGAAAGCCTACATTATTCTGGCTTTTGACAGTGAGACTGATGGGACTTTGGAGATGTGATTTGGTGAAGGGCAGCTGGCCTATTAGCTAAGACTGGACAGCACTGAAAAACACCTTATCACCTTAAGAAGTAGTCTTGGTCCCTTTTATGTATTTTTTCTCAGTGCTGTTTTCCACAAAAAATTTATTCTTTCATTGCCTGACCAAACCTTCTCCCAAAGGCCCCATCAAGTTCTCGTGTCTGCTAAGATATTTCTTAGCTCAGTTTCTGTCCCCATCTGGAGAAGGATAAATATTGCCTTTACATAGATATGTATGGGTTCTGAGGTGCTGTTTAACAAGAGTCTTGCCTCTCTGAGTCCAAGGACTTTTTCATTCCCTTTGCAAGCTCCTGGGGAGTTTCATAAGGCTCTTAAGATTTTTTCTGCCTGAAAGATACAGTCATGAGCTGCTGCTCTCACAAACTGGCAAGTCAGTCCGTGGTGCAAGGCTGCTAAGAACATCTGCCCCTCCAGTTCTGTATGGGAGAATTATAATATAAAAGATAGAATAGCATATAGAAATATAGTTATCTGTTATATAGTATATGATTGTCTCTAAATATATATACAAACATGCATGAATTTATATTTAAGTTTTATGTACAGGAATACATACATAATACACCAGCAAATTTTAGTCTGTGTTTAGGGTGATACCAGTGTAGCTATTTCAGAAAAAATAATGCCTGTCACCAACACCCTGCACGTGTCCTCTTGGTTTCCACCTGTGGTTCTTTCAGTCCCCAAATCCTTACACCCATGTTCCTGCCAGCTTTAATCCAGCAGTATCCAAATCCTGACACTCCTCTTCCCTTTCCTCATACCAAGTGCAAAACGTATGCCAGCAGTTCTCACTCTAATTTTACAGCATTCCTTTATTCAGCAATGCTTTGGGCACTTTGAGAGTAGGGGCAGGAGGACTTCCCAGAGCTTTGCCTCCATTCAGGAGAGGTGTTAAGACTACCTAGGGCTCAGGGCAGTGTAAATTTGTGAGGTAACTGCTGGGAGCTTGAGAAATCTCTAGAGAGAGGCTTTGAAAAGTCTACAGCTTGCATCAGCCCCAAGTGCCTCTGTATTCCCAGCCCAGCCCTGGACTTTTCCTGGAGGTGTGCATATGCTAGGCAAGTGTGCAGTGTACATGTGCCTCTGCATAGCTGGTGTTTCAGACCTACCAGTTAAATTTTCTGTTGAAACTCTGAAAGATTTTTTTCATTTAGTTGCGCCATATAAAATTAAACTTGACTGAATAATTACCGCACTCTGCTCAGTGAACTACAGTTAATAGGGATGAAGTATAGTACATTAATCTCTGTATTTATGAGAAAAGACGTTGTTTTGGAGAATCTGGTTGGTTTTGTTTTCATTCAGTACATTCCTTAGCACATTTATAACAGGCAAATAAGACTCATAAGTGTGTGGGGGAAATGTCAAATTCCAGAACCCTTAAACACTTCCAAGATTTTATATTTTCTGAAGAGAATAAGCCACAATGCAAGAGGAGCTTATAGCTTCACCATTCAAATCCGGTGACTGATAGCTCCTGGAGGAGTGAATAGGTTCAGTTCCTATTCACGACCCAGCCTTTCTGAGGGACCCAGTGCAGTTCCCTGCCTTACTGAACTGAAGACAATGAGGAGACCTTTTCAAATTTATGAATAGTGATTTAATTTATCTGTGATTTGGGTACACATTCTGTAAGATAACATTGTGCAATTTTGGAGTGAGCATCCACTACTTGCAACCTCTTGGCTTAAATTACCTATGTATTACCTTAAATTTAGAAAGAAAACAATTATTTTGCTCACATTTCAGTGTGGAAATCATAGTAGTCCCTATTACTGAATTCTGTCTTTTTAACTGCACTCTGCAGCTCCTGAAAGCAGGATTCAATTCTGTCCTGTGTCCACCTCAGAGAGCAAATCCATTAAGCAATTTTGTGCATTTCAGAAATAGTCTATTTTCTATAAATTATATAACTGTGCTGAGTATGTCCGTAAACCAGGTTTTGAACTGTGGATATAGACAAGGACAATTAACTCCAAAGGGTAATTTCAAAACAGTAAATTAGATAAATGATATGTTACTAGGAAATGCACTGTAATAAGGAGAGCGTTTTAAAGCAACTTGTTATATGAATTATACCATCTGTATTATGCATTGTAGTTAATTTTAATTACATCAAAATAATGTAGAATTATTTAAAAGCAGTTCAATGAGAATGCAGTTACAGCCTTTCTAAGGGATGTTTCTGCTATACAGACTTTTGTAAGGAACTTAAAACAAGGAAATTAAAATAAGGACTGGCACGTTTCATTTTACTCTACATGAGAAATGTTGGCTATGTTTTACTGGGTACAATACCTAAAGCAGAAATGAAAATAGAGAAGTAGAGCTTCTGATCCCGAAAGCAGTAAGGTTGGATAAATTACTCTGGTCTGTGTTCCCAAAATAGAGTTGAGGGAAAAGTTATAGCTCTTAAAAGAGGAAATATTAAAATGTATTACCTGTTTTTATCCCAAACTATAAAATCACTAACCTTAACAAGGGGCTGCTTGAGGTACCTGAAATCAATAGCAATACCATCACTGACTGACTGATTTCAGTTTCCTTTTAATAACTGCTAAAATAAAGAGCTTTGGTGTCATTGGGGTCTGAAACAAAAAATGCCCTTTGTTCTGTGGTTTCTGCTTCAGGACTTGAGGTGTCAGCTGCCAACCGCACTCCATGGCCCTCGCCCAGCCTGTGGCAGCAAGAGGCAGCTTTTGGGTGCTTCAGGGTGCTTTCTACTGCTGCTGCTGCTATTTCTTCTCAGAGCAACCACAGAGTCTAAATCTGAAAGCATCTCTCCAGTCTGCATCTATGTTAGTGTTTTGTTTGAATCAGGAGTGTGGTTTTGAATCTAATGTCCTGATCCCATCATTTGTCCTGCTTCGATGTCTAGCAAGGCTGTGGATTCCTCACAGTGAAAAGGAAACTGGGGGATGTGGAGGAGTACCTCTCATGCACTTCCAGCCCCTGGAGCTCTTCGGAGCGTGAGACTGGACTAGAGCTAGTCCTAAGTACTCAAAATGTGCAGGGTGAAGGTCAGGTCCTCAGCATCAGCTATTCTGCTACACTGCCTACCAATGTAGAAATAGCCTTCACATGTAATTTTCACATCTGATTGAAGTTATTTATGTGTGCAGTTGTCTAAGGTGTCAAACTCTTACTCAGCAAATATTTAAATACAGAGTTAAGCATAAGCCTCTACTTAAGTGGACGTGTTTGGGTCATTAACATTTGGAGCCAGTTATTTAGAGTTTAAAAGTCTCAGGGAGGTTTTTGTTGGGTTTTCAGAAGCAGGATTGCCACTCACACTGAAGTAGAAATGTTCAAACATCCTTTAAAATGTGGCCGATGCACCACACTGCAAAGCCTTGGTGATGTAGGAATCTGAGTGTCATGAGCTTTTGGTGAGAGCACTTAGGAACAGACCCTCAGAAATATGCAATCACCTGAACATTAGTTAAGTGCTTATTATATTCAGAAGCCTTTGAAAAATCTGTTACCTGCATCTTCAGCTACAAGGAGACTTTTACAGTGTGGTTTTTATGCTTTGTGACACTTCACGGAGCAACTTTAAAAACCTGGGTCTACTTACTGCTAAGGTACCTCAGATATTTTTAAAACTTTTACCTTTATTAGTTTTCACGGTTGGGAGCTTGAGTTAGAATAACTGGAAACATAAGATGGTTTGGAAGGGAATCATTTGTGTGCTGAAGAACACTGCATAAGCTTTGCCTTTTAACAAATTTGTCCCGTTGTTTTTCAGGTAAAGGTGATGTGTTTGGTGATATCTTCTGGAAGGAAACCAGTCTGGCCCATGCATGTGCCAATGTACGGGCTCTGACATACTGCGATTTACATATTATTAAAAGAGAAGCCTTGCTTAAAGTGTTGGACTTTTATACTGCTTTTGCAAATTCGTTCTCAAGGAATCTCACGCTCACCTGCAATTTGAGGAAACGGGTAAGGCAAAAGCTCTTGTTTTCCCCTTTCTCTCACCAAGAGATTGCACGCTCTTGCCAACTGTTCGCAGTGTTTAACAACTTTCAATAAGTGTTGTCGCTGTTCGTTAATGATGGCTCAATAAAAGTTTCCTGTAGATTTGCAGCTCTGAGAAGCAGTCCTAGCAGGGTGACATATGAATTACATTTCTTTTCCTTTTCTTCACAGTTGCTGGGTTTGGGCTTTTTTTTCCCTATTGCATAACGTAGAAAGTTATATTTTATAGTCTGATAGAATCCAGATTCTGGACTCCTCAGAGGTGAGGTTTAGTCTCTCACCTGCTAAGATACAGATCAGAGGACAGTCTGATGGATCTGCATGGCATAGACCAACTAAGAGCAATTTATTGATGTTAAATAAATAAAATGTACTCAGCAAACGTATTGTATCAATACCTGCTTTTCTTACTTGCACAATTTAGAATTTTAGTATGGCGAGGTTAATAAGGCTTGGTAGTGATTTTACATTCACAACTCAACTCTTAAACCCTCCTGCTCATTTTATAATCAATCAGCAATGCTCACTATCCATTAATCCTTTCAAAGAACACTACATCTAAAAATTAATGAGCTATAAGGACATATCATGAAAACAGGTTAAGGGATTCTTTAATTCACATTGCGGCTGCAAAATTTAATCTTTATGATGGTTTTTTTAAGATTGATGAGGGTTATATAAATTTCATTTGCATAGAGAAATCTCATAGCAATGATTTATAGATTATTGAGTATTAACTGTGATCTTCTAGCTGCTGAAACACATTTTTCTGCAGCTGTACCTAGGGCATCTCACCTGAAAATGTACCAAGGTTACTTCAGTATTTTACAAGATGGTTTCATCCTCTACAGTAATAAGAGTTCAACGCAACTTGAATTTTACTTTTCTAAGTCTAGTTTCTCTCTAGCCACTGAAGCATCTTACACATGCTTCTTTCAAAGGAGTTTTAATTTTTAGTGCATTCCTCGTGCTCATTAATATACCAAATATGGCACAAAATACTCATGGCAAAAAACAGGTGCAATGGGATTACAGTCCCACTCTGACTGTCCTGGAGCATGAAAGAGATGAATTATAATCAGGTTTGGTTCCAGCTTGTCAGCTTACCTCTGACGTGAAGCTTGTTAACTCTGCTTCAGACCTCAAGAAGGGCTTTGGGGCTTGAAAGCTGGTTTGGGGTTTCAAGCTTATCGCTTCTCTGTTGATAAGATGTCCTCCAAGCCTTGACTTCAGCATCCCCCCCTTGCCATCTCGCCTACCTGCAATGTGCCACCCGCTACAGTCCCATGATGACAATTCTGCTCAGGCGTTGCTGACAATGATTCATGGGACAAGATAATGCCACATATAGTGTGCCAAAGTGTATTCTTTCCTTCTTGAAACTGTAAACCTGTCACTTCAGCTAGCTTCCTGGGACTCCCCATTCCCCTTACAAGGTTGTGTAAAGCGAAAAACATGTACAGATCTTTTCCTGACAGGGCAATGTGCTGGACCTTAACTCTGTAATCCAGGGATGCATATGGAAAGTAGCCTCCAGCTGGGTTTCATGGATTTTCTTCTCTCCTATGCCCTTTTTTTTTTTTTTTTAATTTAGGAAAACTGGTTCCTCTTCAGTGTCCTGCCCATAGGGAGTCACCCAGGTGGAAACACTTGCAGAGCTCAGGTTCCTGGTACAGATACCTGCTGTATAGCTCAGTGTTAGGTACATGGATTTTGCCATGGAGACAGTGACTCAAAACAAGAAGGAACTGCACTGCTAAAGAAATGTTGGATTTTGCAGAAGGAAAGGAAATGTTGGTTGGGTGCATGTGTGAGCATTACACGAGAGTGGATGGAGAAAGAAAGGTCGTGTTGACGTTGTACATGCAGGGTAGGGTTCACTTCACTAAAAGCTGGGTGGTGACGTTCAAGCTAGTCACCAGTCACCTTTATAGCCCTTCCTCCAGAAAGTAATCATCTGGCCCCTCTTCAGTGCCCAGTCTGGAATGGGAAAATCATCCCCTTTCTGTTGACTTTTGAGAGAGTCCTTGATCACTAACTTTTATATACCTAGGATACATCAGATGGACTCCACTTATGATGTCTCTGACAGTTTGACTCAAGAACTATTTTGGGAAAAATCTTATTTCTAATATTACAGTAAGATGTGCTGAGCTGGAGCCTGCTTTTCAGAAATGCTGTGTATTGTTCCTAGGCACAAAATAGATCATGCTACTTTCAACACCAGGGACACAATCTAAGTCCTGTTACATAAAGTTATTCAGGGGATTGTTTCAAACCTCATGTCTGCTGAAAGTATACGTGATTCCCTGTTGGGCACAGAAGTGTTTGACGGTGAGTTCATCTCTTAGGAAAAGCAGTGCCATTCAGGGCAGTTTCATCAGGCGAACAGAAAGCAGTTGTTCAGGCAATGAGATGAGGCTGACAGAGCTGCACTGTACTGCAGCAGTGTGTGCTGGAGTCATGTAATCTAAATGGAAAGAAAATCTTTGTCTCCTTTAATTGATTTCAATAGAAATATACTTAGCACTTTTTCTATGTTGTCATCACTCATAAGGTTTGACATTTAATTATAACAAAAGTACACTCCTTGTGGTTTTGTGCTCAAGAAAATGCTTGTACTCACAGTCAAAAATATATAGACAGAATTGTTCTTTCATCAGTTCTGGTCTTTGAAATATGCATACATGTATGTGGATGCACACACACACACACTCACACACACACACACACATGTTTGTGCTGCACTGTCCCTCAACAAGCACTTAGTTGTAGTCCATAGACTGCAAAACAATTTAGACGTTCAAAAGGCTAATAAATTAATAATAGTACTGAGCACAAAAGGTTAGTTCCATATGACAGGGAAAAGAGTCACGCTGAAGTGGGAAAATAGTATTTTCTCACTCCCAAATAACATTTAAAGGCCTGGCATGTCGAATGACCTACTTAAGGCATCTGCTTAGCATGCTATTATCAACTCCTGGGTTTTTGTTTTCTTTTTTGTGTGTTAGGTAGCTCAGCCATCATGCTGCATTTGTGAGCCCGTAAAGTGAATGTGCCTGCTAAGCTTTTCAGCCTACAGTCATCTCTCCTGCCCAGGGTGGTGAGGTGACTTTTAATTTGTAATTGCAGAGTATTGCAGTATATGATGTTTCATGCTCTGAAATCTTTATGGCCCATCTAACATCACTAATGCACACTCCAAGGCAGAACCAGGACTTTGAACTTTTTTTTTTCCAAACGGGGAAAAATAATTAATCTGGAAAGATATTCTTTAAAATCACAATGAGATTACATAGCCGCCTCTGAGGACTGAAAGTTATAAAGCAGTGTTTAGGATGAGTCTTCAAAGAGTTAATTACTGCCTTCTGATGTTGGAAAAAGAGTATTAATAATGTCTAATTCATTAAGTGCCTTTCAAGATTGCACACAGCTGGAGGAGGGCCTCTCTGCGAGCTTCAGCCCATGGAGCTTGGCCTGAGGAGGGGAGCCAAGACAGATTTCTAGGAGGCTAAAACTTGTGTAAATATATGTTCATTTTATTGATGGTCAAAATTCAGGAAGGAAGGCCTACATCAACCTACCAAGTATTCAGCTGAAATATTTTAAGTTTTCCTTTTCTCATCATTGCTTCTGTTTGCACCAGCTAATGCACCATCTCCAGCTAACTGCTAGAGCAACACGGTCTGTGCAAGTGTAAGAAAAAAATCAAACTGAAATCTGGGCCTTCCTGAAATCACAGCTAAAATTGTCCTGTGCTTCAGTAAAGCAAATATTTCCCCCACAGCTTTTAAGGTACATGGTCACATACTGCTGTTTTCTACCATGAGCAAAATGAGCTGTGTTAAGGAACTCAGTCAGGAGCAGCCAGGGAAGAGGACAATTGTCCATATAAGATCTCTGGTGCATTTGCTTCTGGAAGGTGTGCTGAAGAGTGAGCCAAGGAGATGTGAGGAGGAATGAGTGCCTTTAAGGCAGTGAAATACCATCCCTAGAGGCTCATTTATTTTCCCTGTAATACTCTTAAAGCCAGGGTCAGCACTGTGAGCGACTGATGTTATCTAATTCCTCCAGCACAGTGTGAATCTCTGAGGCTTTTTAGTGGGTGAGGCTATCAGACTGTCTTAACACATATCCTGTTTTTCTTTCTATTTCAGATTAGAATAATTTATTTTTAAATTGGCTTTCTGTTTCTGCTTGAGGTTTTAATGAATTGCATGTTGTTTCTTCACTGAATCACTTGTCATTTCTGTGTCACATAGTGTTTAGAAAAGCTTTATTTTAATCTGAATTTTGCATTAATGTCTCCTAAAAGTGAAGGTTGTACCAAGGTTTCATTCAGGGTCCCTCTTGTTTTTCATTTTTAAGACTCTCCAGATGGCATGCTATATTAGTGAGCGTCATGATCCAGAAGCAATGTCAGAGGCAGAAAGCATTGCTCTGCATATTGGCCCTTGCTTGTGGAGGTTGCACATGTTCTGGTGAACCTGAGGACTTTTGCAGGTTTTGAGCTCTGAAAGCCATGCACAATTACAGCAGCTTAATTCAGAGCTGTTTGCACTTGGCCAGCCGGTGCTCAAAATAAGCCCTGATCAGTAGTCCATCTCCACTAGCAGGTTCATCATCCATTTTCACCTTTTTTCAGTCTGTTGTTGGGAGCTTTCTCCATGTTGGACAGTGATGATGGCAAAACCTATCTGGGAAAACCAAGTTTTTCCATCATTACTAATGAAGAGAAGCAGAGGAGAAAGACATGCTGCCTAGGGAGCTGCTGTGACTAATAATGTAGATCAGCTGGTGGGGGCTTCAGTGGGGTCCTGGATTCCCGTCCTGTGATAGGGAATGTGCCCACCTCCAGGCTGGTACTCGGTCCTCATCCATCTCTCACTCCTGGTACTTTCCTTTTGCATGTGCAGCTTATTACTCTGCTGGTTTGAGGCAGTGGCAAAGGTCTCAGGAAGAGC